ATAATGACCTCTTTGGTGTTTGTGACAAGCATTAGCTAGAGAAAAGTTGATTTGAAGAGACATCCCAAGACGAGAGAATTTAGAGCTAGGGGATGGAGGAAGGGTGCAGTGTTTATACTTGTTGGCTTGCCAAATCATTTTGACAATCCCATGTTGATTATCAAAATTGATGCCAATTTGGTGATCAGGGAACACAAAAGGACCAGCACAAACATCATAGCCAGAATCAGGGGGGGCTAAAGCACCAGTATCAGAAAAGGTGGGGAGAAATAAGACAAAATCATAGTCAGAAATATCAGCATTGTCAACATGAGGTGGATTGAAAAAACCATTGGTGGTAAAAGTGATTGTGAGGTGAGCAAGTGGTTGGGCTGGGTTTCTTGCCATGATGGAGGGAAGTTAAAGAAGGGATGTTGAATTTTTTCATGAGGGACTTCCTGGGTACACACTTCTTAATAAATATTTTTACAAGACACCACTTGCGTTTGTGCCGCTCGTCTCATCACGGTGCATTGAAAGCGGCTTCCGAAAAGCTTCCCCTTGCAAGGCCTCCTTCATCTCCACCAACCCCCGCTCAACACACCCCCTTTCTTCAGAGATTTATACCCCATACATATTCAGCTTGTCTTTTTGACCTGGTGAGCAGGGCTACGGAGCAAGCTAAAACAAAGGAGGAAATGGTCATATTGGCCAAATTTCGTGGGTACATCACCAACAGGCCAAATGGTCTAGTCGTATGATTCGCCCTTCGGGCCTTCCCCGTCAACTAGCCAGGCGATACTGGGCGAGGTCCCGGGTTCAATTCCCGGTTTGGCCCCTCTTTTTCATTCCTTGTTTTTCTCGTCAACCCCGGGGATGAAGTATGCTTTACTGACAGAGTAATATTTTCGATGAGGAGGCGGGAGGGACGGATTGGTTGGGGGATGTATGGTAGAAAAATTAAATACAGAGATCGAATGCAGAGCTGGGAGGGGAGAAAACCGCGCTGGTCTTGGGAGAGCCGACTACTGTCCCATCGACAGCCGAGTCGTCCGTTCATTTTCATCCAGGTGTTGTCAGCAGAGAATCAGGAGACAGCCAACCAGCCCGTCGACTTCAGCGGCCAAGGTTGCTGCCGCCCAACCTGAAGGAAAGAGAAGCGCCACTTAGTGTGCGACGAAAAGTGGTCCCGACCACACCTGCCAATGAGAGATCTCGATAAGATCACCCCACCCCCTGGTATATCCATCCCGCAGACGGTGGAAGACCGAGCTTCTTTCTCTTGCATTTTTGAGGCAAATATTAGAACAAGGGGGCACGTCGTATCCCAGGAGAAGACTCAATCAGCCCCCCCTCCAAGGCCATCATCATGTTCCTCATTTCGTCTTTTTTTTTTTGATAAAAAATATGAATTATTTTGGTTGGCAACTAAGCTAGAGAGGGACAATACAGCGGAAGCGAGACAATCGGGAACAGTCAACAACGGCCAACAAGACGGAGAAACACACTCGTCTGGAGAAGAAAGGGTTGTCACTCGATTCAAAAGAGACTTGTCAAGGCACAAACAGAGATATAATCGACAAGAGATGATAATCAGAGCCAGAACCGTAGAAAGAAACAGATATCAGGGAAAAAGGACATCGGGACCACAATGAGACGGGAAGTAATCTAGAACTGGGCGGATCAGATTGGAATAGACCTGGAGACCTCAACAATTACGTTTGTTACAATACGCATGTATAGGAGACCTGGAGATTAATATTTTTGGTCATTTTATGGCTGGAGACATGGGTAGGTGAAGCAAACGTTAAGGGAGAACATAATTTTAGACCGGCACATTAGACGTAGTGGATGAGAGACACTTGACCAACGTGAAGAGCGGTGTAGGAAAAAAAAACAGGCCACCCCAAGGAAGACATCGATAAATTCGCCGGTCACCCCTGTACGCAACTTGAGTCGACTTGGAAAGGGAAAAAAGGGTAACAAACGATTCAAGGTATGAGAGACACGCGAGGCGAGAAACAGAGAGAGGTAGAGAGAAAGGAATCGGAAAACGATTGGAGGTTCTGAATGTAGGACCCCCATCAAGACACCAAGAGATTGGATTTTCTTTTCTTTTCTGTTCTGGATTCGATTGACAATTTTGAGGTCAAGAAGGAAGTGATGAACAGGTAGGAGAACATAAGGCGGGGTAGGAAGTAGGCATGATGGAGAGGGGATCTTAAACTAGACAGATCCAAAGGAACAAGCAGTCAACAATTTGGAAAAAGCATTCACGGAAAACATGAACGAAGAACATACCGGTGAAAGTAGGTTTTTTCTTCTTAAGTTGCGAGTCAGTGTGGCTTCTAAACTCGCAGTCGGTCTGTATGGACTTGCCGTCGGAGGGGAATCTAGCGTTTTCCGATAGGCCCAAGACGCCATACTTGAAATGACGACCAATGTTTTGGGCCAGTTCCTTCGAGTCGGCAGAGCGAGTCCAGATCGAAATTCGGAAGAACATTTTTCGTGAATTGATGACCACTCCAGTCACCTCGTCGGTAAACAACATCGTCGCGGGTGGGTTGCCATTGGGTGTGTAAGGCGTTTCAAATGTTTCTCCGATCGCTGTTAGCATCTATAAATAGCATCATTGGTCGACAAACCAGTCAACGGTCACATTGATGAGAAAGAAGAGATGATCTGTCTTACTGTGTAGAGCCAGTATTTGTCAACCGAATCACGATAGCGGTCACGGGAAAGTTGAATGCTCCAGCTTCCACCTTTGGCGTTAGCCGGGTCCTCCCATGCCGCTATGTGTAGATACCACAAGGTGAGAAAGTAAGTAATTTAACGATTATGAGGAGATTGAAAAACAAGGGAGACTGACGTTTGATCCCTTCCTTGAACAAGTAATAGTTGGATCCGACATGAATTAGCGATGGTGGGACAATGTTGTGATAAAGGCTGTAGTCTTTATGATTAGTTTCATGCCAATTACTGAGCAAACAGGGTCACCCAAGTGGAAGAGACTGACCCCCAAAATTCTTCCACACTCTCGACCTGCATGACCTGCTGGATAAGTTCGTCCCAATTTTTAGATCTATCGTTCTTGGTAGCGTTATCGAACCAGAGAGTCCAGGTGGAGTAGAGGGGATGTTTGACGTTGAATTCGGTGGGGGAGTTAAAGACGGTGATAGGGTTGTTAGAAGAGGAGCCGGCGGATTCCGTGGGTATTTCGCCGTCCTCCAAGGATGAACGTTCGTCCTTATCTTCGTCATCCTTGTCCGATGATGAGCTGTGAGCGATTTGCGGAGAGGAGACGGATGATGAGGGTATTGAAGAGGCTTGCGAATATTCGGCTAGGGCGCTTCTGACTGCTTGGGAGGAGGCTTGGGCAGCAGCAAGGGGCAGTTTTGAGGAGGGGAAAGTGGGACTGGAGGCGGATTGTTGATCCATGAAGATGATGATGGCTGGGAGGGGTTCTTGGGGCTGTTCCTTGGCTTCTTAAAAGGCGTGGTTGTGTCTTGTGGTTGTCGTAGATTTTGAGTGGTCTTGCTGTGGCGTGTGAGAGAAGTGGCTCGGGTTTCAGGGGGGGTGCCACTGCGCCGCAGCAAAAAACCACATTCCGCCGCTCTAACCCGTACGAAAGGGATCCGCAGCCCCCGATGCGATACCATCCGCAGTCGTCGAGTCAAGTCGTAGACCATCTCCATCGCGGGGGGGGATCTGAAGTCGCTATGTTCATGAGTTGGGCGACTGTGGCGCATTTTTAGCGCTGCGGTTTGTTTGCTTTTTTTGCACCACTGGTCTTTAATGGAGCTTGTTGGATGTGAAAGGCAGACCCCCCGAATCCTCATCGACAAGAGGTGTGGAGTCGTGTTTTGGTGGAGATGGGGGGACGGGTATCACAAAAAAAATGTGTGATACTTCGGTGTGGCGGAGCTATGTGGGTGTATCCCATTGATGTCTTATGAGATCATTGCGCAACAGAACGTGTGCGCATTAATCTCTCATTTTAATATGGCAGTTATCAACAAAATCTGATAATGAGATTCACCCGATTCATGTAATCTCGACTGGTGTTGTGATTGCTGTCGGACCAGTGTCGTAATCGTAGTCTAAGTATTAGTCTCGCTCATCTTCCACAATCATGTTGCGGAGGATGATGCAAGCCTTCATTACATTGGATGGATTATGGTGCTTCCATCCACGAGCCGGCCGTGATACCAAGGCGAAGCGAGCTTGAAACACCCCGAATGCACACTCAACATCTTTTCGACGTCCCTCTTGCATTTTCACAAAATGCTTCTGGTCGAGTCCTCGAGGTTGCGATAACGTTTTGACGAATACTGCCCCGTCAGGATAGATCATCAGACCCTGATGGTATCTGTGATTATTAATGGTATGGTCTACCTTTGGCGTCTCTCCATTGAGTTATAGATCTTTGAAGAGCGGTGAGGTGTCCAAAACATTTATGTCGTTATGAGAGCCTGGTATGCCAAAGTACGCATGCTAGATCCAAAGATCCTGTAATGCAACGGCCTCTAGAATGATGGTTTGCGTCTAGAGAGTGCAATAATCAATAGAGACATCCAAAAAAAATGTGCAAAAAAATAACTCACTTTTTCTTTCCCCTGGAATTGCCCAGCCCAAGCTGAAGGGCAGTTCTTCCACTGCCAATGCCTGCAGTCAAGTGCTCCCAGCATGCCAGGGAATCCTCTCTTGGCGCCTACCATAAGAAGCCTCTCCATATCATCTGTTGTGGGGTGTCGGAGATACTCGGAAGCATAAATGTGGATGCTGCATAAAATTAATCCATGGATTCGAGGGAAGTTGACTCGGGTAATTGAAGATATTAATCATTACAATTGGCGGCGGCACCGTAGGCAAGCATCCGGAGTGCGGCCGTGATCTTCATGATGGGCTTTAATCCCCATTTACCTACAGCATCTGGCCGATGGGTGAAGTATTTGTCAAAACCCTCAACGGCTTCAACAATCCTCAAAAAGAGAGGCCACACCATTCGAAATTGACGCCTAAAAATTATCTCATTGTGCAGTGGCTAATTCGGAAAGTAATGTTTTACAAGGCGTTGATAGGCCCCTTCAAAGTCCCGGACGTGATTCAGCATTTTTCCATTTTTTGGATCCGCCATGCAAGACTACTTCTTCATTTTTTTGTCACCAAGTAATAAGACCGGACCTTCGATTATTGCATTTGTTCTGACATTGGCACGTGCTAAAATATGTTGCCGTTGAAAAAGAATCTGAATCAACAACGTTGGATCTATTAAGCAATTTTTTAGAAAAAAAAAATTAAGTAGAAGAATAAGAATAGAGATGAGATAAAAATAATATCAAGAGAAAAATCTAGATGAAAAACAGTGAAATCAATAGTATTTGTTTTATTTGGCCCAGCTTTAGCTTGGAGCTTCATAGTCCACTAGAAAAAAATGGTGAAATTTTCCTCCCAAGCCAGAGCCTCTGGCATTGTGTTTGCCGCCATTGCTTGAGGACTTGGCAGGCTGTAAAGAGAAGAGGACTTTGGGGTTCAACAACCACAAAATTACTGAAAGAAGCAAAAAATTTTGGGCCTTGGGAAAGCGACTCCCAAAAATTGGTCAAACGACTGCCGACATCCAAATCACTGCCAAGGTGATTGTGTCAGATTCCCACATCTGGCATTATGTCAGATGNAACTACGCTCCATGATGGTGTAACCTGAAAAAATTTACAACTAACACTACACCAACTAAAGGAAAAAAAAGGAATTGCTGCGCTAGCAGTTAGTGTAGCGGCTTAAATAATGAAGTAACACTATCAAGATTTGGGTGAGTAAGACTGGCCGCTACGCTGA